TTATGTTTCCCAGGTTGGTCTGGAACTCCTGAGCTCAAGCAATCCTCTTACCTTGGCATCCCAAAATGCTGGGATTGCAGGTGTGAGCCACCACGCCTGGCCCTGTTTCCAACTTCTTGATCCTTTTTCTGATCGCCTTAGAGCAGAAAGCCACATAAAGTGCTCTATAGAAAGGATGCCTCTTTCTGGGCCTAGATCTTCATTTATTTATATTCAGTATTATCCAGTGCTTTCCATGGTTAGGCAGAGCTAGGTCTCAGTGAGTAAGTCTTAGATGCCCAGAAGTGGTGGAATTCCCATCACAGAGAACGAGGATCCATCTGTCTTCCACACTGTCTGACTCCATCACAGCTCTTAGATCTCTAGGACCCAAGCTCTACCGTGAGCTGCTCCACCAGAAGGTTCTCCCAGCTCAGCAGTTCCCAAGCTGTGTTACCATGAATAGTTGTTGATTTTTTGGGTCAGGAATTCAGGTAATGCTCAGCAGGGAGAACTTACTACAAATCAACAAAGATCTCTTCTCCAAAAACTGTGTATCCAAAAATACAACCCATTAAAAGATGACTGAAAACTTGAACAGGCATTTCCCAAAAATGAATATCCAAATGGCCAATAAGCTCATGTGAAGATGCTCAACATCATTAGACAGCAGAAAGTTAAAAACCCGTAGATCCTACTGTATCCCCACTAGAATGGCTGACATTGAAAGGACTGACAATTGTTAGTGATTTATGGAGTAACTGGAACTGTCATGCCTTGCTGGTGGGAGAGCCACTTTGGAATACTGGCAGTGTCAACTAGAGCTAAATATGCATCTACCTAGGACCCAGAAGTCCCACCCTACAGGAATGAGTCCTAATGGATTCCAAGAGCCGGGTATAATGATGCCAAAAGCAACTTTATTTTAAATAGCCAATAACTGAAAACAATCCAAATTCCCTGAATAGAAGAATGAGCAAATGAACTGTGGTTTATCAACATAATTCCATCATTCATATAATGGAATACTTACTCTGCTATAATAAAAATAAACGTGCTGCAGTGGCTCAAGCCTGTAATCCCAGCACTTTGGGAGGCCGAGATGGGCGGATCACGAGGTCAGGAGATCAAGACCATCCTGGCTAACACAGTGAAACCCCGTCTCTACTAAAAAATACAAAAAACTAGCCGGGCGAGGTGGTGGGCGCCTGTAGTCCCAGCTACTCGGGAGGCTGAGGCAGGAGAATGGCGTAAACCCGGGAGGCGGAGCTTGCAGTGAGCTGAGATCCGGCCACTGCACTCCAGCCTGGGCGGCAGAGCGAGACTCCGTCTCAAAAAAAATAAAAAATAAAAAAATAAACGTGCTAACACTATGTGCGAAAACATGGATGGGTCTCACAGATGTGTTCAGTAAAAGGATCCAGACAGGAGAAAGGACACACGATCTCATTCCACTTACACGAAAATCAGGAGAGGGAAATGAGTCCATGGTATCACAGGTCAGGTGATTGGTGACCCTGGTGAGAACTGGAAGGTTGCCTATTGAAGGTGCCTGGTGGAGTGCTGTAAGTTTTCTCTCTTTATCTGGGAGGTGATTCCAGAAGAGTATACAAGTGGAAAAGCCCACAGGGTAGCACACTTAAGGCCTGTGCGCTGTATGTATATTACACTTCAATGAAAAGCATGCACATAAGTCTTATACCATTTGTGTGCTTGTGTTTGTTTGCTTTTCCTCATAAGATATCAACGTCATGAGGGGATGTGTTTTTGTCTCTTCTTGTTCACTGATGTTACAGGTGTTTGCATATCACTTAGGACAGTCCCTGAGCATAGTAGGTTCTCACTAAATAGTTATTAAGCAAATTATATGCTTACCGTAGTGTGTCACTTCAAATTCTCTTAGGTTTGTATTCATGCCTACTTCTTTGGATAGGTGAGACTGATGTGCATACACACTCTTAGGTTCTACAGTTTTTTCTCTTTAACATTTTACTTAAGAATCTGTACATGTTGGCAGTCTATATGCATGCCTATTTCTAACATTTAATGACTATCATTACTTCCTGTGGATAAATTATAGTTTGCCTAGTCATTCTTACCCTATTGGGCATGTGGATTTTTCTAATTTATTTCTTTTTATAACAGGGTGATCATGTTTAAACTAATTCCTTCTCTGGTTTTTGGTTACTTTATTTGAGTTGGTCCCCCAAGGCAATTACTACAAGGCAAAAGGTGAGGATGGTGTTACGGTATTATCGTAGATAAATTGATTGCTCTCCAGAGAGAATAGCATTTTTTTTTTTTTTTTGATATGGAGTCTCGCTCTGTCACCCAGGCTGGAGTGCAGTGGCGTGATCTCAGCTCACTGCAAGCTCCACCTCCTGGGTTCCAGCAATTCTTCTGCCTCTGCCTCCTGAGTAGCTGAGATTACAGGTGTGCACCACCACGCCCAGCTAATTTTTGTATTTTTAGTAGAGATGGGGTTTCACCATATTGGCCAGGCTGGTCTCAAACTCCTGACCTCAGGTGATCTGCCTGCCTCGGCCTCCCAAAGTGCTAGGATTACAGGCGTGAGCCACCGTGCCCAGCCCAGAGAGAATAACTTAATTTATGGTGCCATCTGCAAGGCACATGGATCTTTCTGTACTACCTTAGGTACTTGAGGGATCGCAGTTTCATCTTATGATATTTTTAAAGATTTATAAGACTACCTTCAAGTTTTCTACCTTCACCTTTTTTGTTTATTGTGTGTGCATGTTTCTGCCAATGAATCACAGTCTATGAATCTACCTGTCCTTGAATCTCCTGTATAAAACTCTCTGTTTACCCATTCTCTACCTGTGGCTTAGTCAATTCCTGGAGAAAGGTTAAAGAATGATCTTGTGGCAGTCAAAGCTTTTTCTCCGATAGGCACAATGTAATTAATTGTGATTCTATTCTAGGTTTCCTGTGGCATAATGTGATGGTTAATTTTCTGCATCAACTTGACTGGGCTAAGGGATGCTCACATGGCTGGTAAAATTATTGTGTTTGTGAGGGTATTTCCAGAAGAGATTCACCTTTGAATCAGAAGACTGAGCAAAGATTTCCTTCAGCAATGAAGGGGGGCATCCACTAAACTGTCAGGGCCCAGAGAGAAGAAAAAGACAGAGGAAGGGTGAATTTGATCTTTCTGACTGGGTCATCCATCTCTGCCTATCCCAGGACATCCACACTCCTGGTTCTCTGGCCTTCAGACTTGATCAGGGACTAACAGCATCGCCTCCCACCCTTACCTTTGTTCTGAGGCCTTTAGACTCTGAATGATAGCACTGGCTTTCCCCCTTCTCTATCCTGCAGTCGGCAGATTGTGGGACTTCATTCCAAAACTGTGTGAGCCAGTTCCCATAACAGATAGATACATTTCTAAATAAACGCACACATTTCCTACAGGCTTATCTTAGTGGCGTCACTTCAAATTTTGAAGAACCCTTTCTAGTACATATAGTAAACAACAACAACAAACAAACAAAAAAACTACAAGTGGGTCACCATCATCAATGAGTAAGTTTTAAAAAATCAAACACAAGATAAAACGCTACAGCGTATCTATTACCTGTGGGCTTTTTCTATATGTAAAGAACTGTCTGAGATGCCTTGCAGTAAATTCCAAGGAGATTTTGAGGGAAGGTATCCTCTTTTCTCCTGGTAAATCTCCCCATTGACCATTATTTTAAAGGCTCCAAAGATCAAAACACCTGCTTGCACAATTTGCCAATTCATTTTGGGTGAGGGTCTCTGGCAGGCTTGGAAGGGTGGGTGAACAGTGGGAAGGGGGCTGCCTCTGTGGTTACTGGCATCACTCATATCTATGTCTGTGGCAGTCATCAGGTGCTTATTATATATTCAACTTTTGGCCACCCCTATGGGGGTGTTAAATGTAGGGAGAGTCCAGTCAGGTCATTGCAAATTGGCAGTGACTTTTGAGACCTTTCTACACACGATAGTCAGGTAGATACCTTCTTTTTAAATTTGACTTTTTTTTACTTTTTTTTTTTTATTGGAGACAGGGTCTCACTCTGTCACCCAGGCTGGAGTGCAGTGGTGATCACGGCTCATTGCAGCCTCAACTTCTCAGGCTCCAGTGATCCTCCCACCTCAGCTTCTCAAGTAGCTGGGACACAGGCAAGGGCCACCATGGCCAGCTAATTTTCGTGTATTTGGTAGACAGTGTTTCAGCATGCTTCCCAGGCTGGGTGGATACCTTCCAAAAATTAACAGTTCATCCTGCCTAGCCTTACCCCAGCAGCTTAAAGGAATTACCCACTCTGGTGCTGAGCTCGGGCTGCCTGGCTCTGGAATAATGTGCTCAGAGTTGCAGGGGAGGCCTGCAGGCTGACTGGCAGAAAGAGTCCCACACTCCCTACCCTGTACCCTGGAAGACCAGGCTGCCCAGCCTGTCCACCTGATAGACCATTTCCCTGCCCAGTTCTCCTTCTCTCATTCCTGATGTGCAGCTTGATTCCTGCAGGGACTGCACCGGCTGAGATTATCTCAAGGTGCTCCCTTCTGCCAGCTGGTGTTCAGGGAAGTGGGTCCTCTGGTCTCCTTCCTGCCACCACCAGAATTTTGAGGGCCTTGTTTCTCCCACTGCACTCATTCCTGGGTTCGTTCCTTCCCTCCCTCCCTCCCTCCCTCCCTCCCTCCCTTCCTCCCTTCCTTCCTTCCTTCCTTCCTTCCTTCCTTCCTTCCTTCCTCTTTCTCTCTTTTTCTTTCTTTCTTTCTCTTTCTTTCTTTCTTTCTTTCTTTCTTTCTTTCTTTCTTTCTTTCTTTCTTTCTTTCTTTCTTTCTTTCCTTCTTTCTTTCTTTCTTTCTTTCCCTCTCTCTCTCTCTCTCTCTCTCTCTCTTTCTTTCTTGACAGAGTCTCACTCTGTCACCTAGGCTGGAGTGCAGTGGTGCAACCCCAGCTCACTGCAACCTCTGCCTCCCTGGTTCGAGCAATTCTCCTGCCTCAGCCTCCTGAGTAGCTGGGATTACAGGCACCTGCCACCAGGTCTGGCTAATTTTTTGTATTTTTAGTAGAGTCGGGGTTGCACCACGTTGGCCGGATTTTAGATGAGAGTTTCTTCACCTCAGCAGTACTGTCATTTTGGAGGGCAGAATTCTTTGTTGTGGTGCACTGTCCTGTGCACCACAGTCCTGTGCACTGTCCTGTCGCAGGGTGTTCAGCGTCCTAACCAAACTCTACCCACTAGATGCCATGGGCTCTTCCCAGTGGTGGCAATTAACAAAGTCTCCAGACAGACCTATGTGTCCCCTGAGGGGCAAAGTTACCTCCACTTGAAGACCAGTGATGTGCTGGATGGAGACCAGTATTAAAATAATAATAGAAATCATAATGTAACTCATGTACTTAAGGTAAGTCCTTTTTGATGGAACATTTATTTCAGTTAATAATATTTGTATATGTCTGTCCTGGTAGTTTGTTTTTTTTTAACTTTTTATTTTGATTTAATACCAGAGTTTGAAAAATTTGCAAAAGGAATTAATACAAAGACCTCTGATTACCCCAGATTCTAAGTTTCCACATGGGCTTTCTCCTCCCTCCCCCTGAGTCCCCCAGCCCCTGCTCCCCGCCTTTCTCTCTCCCCGCCCAGCAAGCTCCCTAGGAGCACAGCACCGCTTATGACAAAAACATCATTTTCTTTTCTCTGAGGCGGCATTCCTGACGTTTGGATTTAGGCTGATAAGTGACAGTTACAATCATCCTTGCCTGTGTTGTCCTTCCCATGTTAGGTCTGTCATGCCATGTGTGTCTGCAGTTTATAACAATCTATATCATACATGCCTTTTGAAAAGTTTTGAAAACTTATCCAGTGAATCCCTGAGCACCAAATGTTCTTTTGTGTTATTTTTCTTTATTAGGCTATTATTACTTTATTTAGAATCTCTCTCTCTTTTTTAGAGAGAGCCTGTCTTTCTTGCCTAACCTAGAGTGCAGCGGCGTATTTATCATAACTCAGTTCAGCCTCGAACCCCTGGGCTCAAACAGTTCTCCCCGCACCACCGCCCCCACCGGGCTTCTGGGCATGGTGAACTCTCTCCTGGAACCCTTGGGGCTGGGAGGTGGGAGGGGATCCTATTCCTTCCAGCCCCGGGAGCGCGCTTCGGGCCTCCAGATTGGCGCGTTTCGGGGGCAGAGCGGGCCGAGGGGCGGAGTCTCAGCAAGGCTCCCTCTCTACCCTCTCTGGGCCTCTCACGAAGTCTGAGCCCCGCCCCGCCGAAGCCTGTCTGCAGAATCCGCAGCAACCAGCACCATGCCCATGACACTGGGGTACTGGAACATCCGCGGGGTGAGCGAGGGTCCGCTGGGCGGTGGGACGGGGGGCGCGGGGGTGGGGAAGTGTGGAGCAGCTGCGGGACGGGCTCTAGGGAAGGTTCCTCTTCAGCGCTGCTCCTCACAGGAGGGCCTGTGCTTGCCGCTCTGTGTGCGTGTGGCGGGGCGGGGTGGGGGGAGGTGTGAGGCAGGAAGGAGAGGAGGCGATGGGTATGTGCAGTGTAAACTGGGGGCTCCCCTTGTGCAGAGAAGTCCCCAAGTCAGGGACCCTCCATCTCTGACCCGAGCTGCGGGCCATCTCTCCCAGCTGGCCCACTCCATCCGCCTGCTCCTGGAATACACAGGCTCAAGTTACGAGGAAAAGAAGTACACAATGGGGGATGGTAATGGCACCCTCGTGTCTGGGCCCTGCCCACTCACACTAGGCTGGCACCAAGCAACCCATGGTGGCCACCTGTGGCTGCCTCTGCAGGCCTCTCCTGCTGGAGCTGCAGGCTGTCCGTTCCCTGAGCCCTGGTGAGGGAGCCCTCTGGCCTTGCAAGGCACAATGCTGGGGCGGGATGCTGGGCCCCCTGTCTGATTGGGTTGGGTGTCCCTTAGGGGTTGCCTAAACCCTGGAAGCCTTAGCCCTGTGGGGTCCAGAGCCCTCACCGAGATTCTTTCTCTCTGAACCCTGGGATGTGGGACTGAGTGGTCAGATTCTAGATCCACCTGTCTCAGGGGTCTTGCCACTGGCTCCTTGGGAGGGTCCTGGGGGAAGGAGGGCTAGGCTCTGGGGAGGTTTGTTTTCACTTCATCTTCCCCACCACAGCTCCGGGGAGGCTTGAGCCACTCTATCTTTCCCCACCACAGCTCCTGACTATGACATAGCTTTTATTGAATGATGGAAATCTGCTGGGCCTGACTTTCCTAATGTAGGTAGGAAGGTATTTTGGGGGAAAGTAACGTGTCTCTGACCGTATCTCTCTCCCAGCTTAGAGGGGTTAGGAACAGGAGTCTTCTGCCCAATTCCTCTCACTCCTGGCTGTCTACACAGCCCTTCCATGATGTTCTGTGTCCAAGCTCATTCATCCATGACAGTATCGCAGGTTTCAGGGCCTGCTATGAGCAGGCACAGTGAGTGCTGGGTCCTCTTCTGCCCTTGCTAGTGGGAAGGATGCTGGGTGCCAGGCCCAACTGAGCTTCCCCGGTTTCCCATTCATCCAGCTGCCCTACTTGGATTGATGTGGACTCACAAGATCACCAGAGCACGCTATCCTGCGCTATATTGCCCGGCAAGGCCAACCCTGTGAGTGTGGTTTGCTGCAGTGTGTGTGGTATCTCCTCCTTTGGCTGGATTGGGGTGCGATGCTCAGAGTGAGTCTATGTTTTGTGGGTGGTAGGTGGGGAGACCGAAAAGGAGAAGATTCGGGAAGACATTTTGGAGAACCAGCTTATGGACAACCGCATGCAGCTGGCCAGACTCTGCTATGACCCAAATTTTGTGAGTCTCCCACCCCACTCCCAGTCTCCCCTTTCCCTGCAGAGTTTTGATCGGGAGCCAAGACTCTGGTCCTGCCATCTACATGGGTCCCGTTTTCCATTTGAACTCTTTAGTGCTACTTATCCTTCAAGCTATTTCCTATACTGCCACCAGAATGACCCTCAAACCCCAAAGTCATGTCAAATAAAACCTCTAAATCAATTCCCCACCAATCTACTTACAGAATCCTGACTCTCCAGGTATGAATTCACTCTCTAGACAGTAATGGTTACTTCCAGAGTCCCCTCCATCTCTGACCCATGACCTCTTTCCAGATTCTCTCTCCCAGTGGTTTGGACCATCTCTCCCAGTGGTTTATATCATCTGCCTGCTTTGGAATACACAAACTATGAGGAAAACAAGTGCAAAACAAAGGAATCTAATGGCACCTGCAATTTTGGTGTCTTCTGAGTGCTCTCTGAAGCACTGAGACATATACTGAGATCAGCGAATTTTCCTAACAGGCAGCTTAGGGGCAGCCAGAGGCTCCTTTTTCCCCTCCTTTCTTCTACTCATCCTCTGAATATCTCCTTATCTTTCCAGAAACCACTCAATGGCAATTGTATTCTTCTGCTGCCCCACTAGGAGGAACTTTCTACTTCTTTCTCTGAGCTCCTTTAGTTCTTTGCATCCTTGATTCTGCTCATATCTGGGTCCAGAGCCTGCCAGGTGCTCAGGTGCTCCTGGGGCTGACCCAGAGGTTGTTGGGAGGTCAGTGGGGACAGATTTAGGGACAGTGTCACATTCCGCTCTGCCATCCCATCACCTCAGGAAGACTCCAGCTACCCAGTCAGAGTCTAATAAATGCTGATATATCCAATCGAAGCCTGGGCACTGCCCCAGTTCCAGCTGTGGGGAAGGTGGCTGCTTGCCCATGGCCAGCTGGGGCCATGCACAAATCTGGGAGGCCACATCTGTGCAGGGAGCTTGTGTCTGAGGGTGGTGACAGCTGTTTTCTGCCTCAGGAGAAACTGAAGCCAGAATACCTGGAGGGACTTCCTGAAATCCTGAAGCTCTACTCACAGTTTCTGGGGAAGCAGCCATGGTTTCTTGGGGACAAGGTAATGGGGGCATGTGATGCGGACACTACAGATTTGTCATACTTCCTATATTATGGAGGTTTCAGCCCACATATCCTTGGCCTTATTCAGATCACCTTTGTGGATTTCATCGCTTATGATGTCCTTGAGAGAAACCAAGTATTTGAGCCCACCTGCCTGGATGCCTTCCCAAACCTGAAGGACTTCATCTCCCGATTTGAGGTGATGCCCCCGTCCTCCTTTCTCTTTATGTCCCTTATTCCTTTCCCTCCTTTGTGATGCTTTCCCAGTCCTGAAGCTACACAAAGAATAACTCGCATTTATGGCCATGCGCGGTGGCTCACGCCTATAATCTCAGCACTTTGGAGGCTGAGGCAGGCAGATCACCTGTGGTCAGTAGTTTGAGACTGGCCTGCCCAAATGGTGAAACCCCATCTTTACTAAAAAAACAAAAAAACAAAAATTAGCTGGGCGTGGTGGTGAGTGCCTGTAATCCCAGTTACTCAGAAGGCTGAGGCAGGAGAATCACTTAAACCCGGGTGGTGGAAGGTGCAGTGAGCCAAGATTGCGCCACTGCACTCCAGCCTGCATGACAGAGTGAGACTCCATTTCAAGTGGAAAAAAAAAAAAAAAGAATAACTTGCATTTATTGAGTGCTGGCTTCATGCCACGAACTGTGCCCAGAACATTATACCTATTGCGTGGAATTTGAAATTTATAACACTCCTACAGGGTGGTAGAATCGTCTCCCCCATTTTAGAGATAAGGAAACTGAGAATGAGAGAATCAATCCTTCTTCAGGGTCTCAGAGCCAGTGGAGGCTGTGCTGGGCTCCCTGTGAGCCTCTGGATCTATGGGCAGCAGTCGGAGCTCTCCCTTTTGTGACAAAAGAAAAAGCCTCAGGCCTTGTCCAGCCTGGGTTTCACAGCCCAGGACATTTTGGAAGAGGCAGAGCACTTCAGGACCACGGATGCAGCTGGCAGTAGTAGGACTGACACATAGTAGCATTGATGTTGAATAACTAAACCCACAGGCAGTATTTGTAGCTACCTCCAGAAGCTTTGTACAATCAAACCCCCATGTGGGGAATCCTGAGAGCCAGAACTGTGGCTGGAGCTGGATTAGGGTACATATGTGGGTGTCCCTGTTGAGGAGCTTATGCTGAAATGCCCTGTGCTGGGGCACTTTCCTTCTTTACCTCTCTTCCTCTTTTTTTTTTGGAGACGGAATCTTGCTCTGTCACCCAGGCTGGAGTGCAGTGGAGTGATCTCAGCTCACTGCAACCTCCGTCTCCTGGGTTCAAGTGATTCTCCTGCCTCAGACTCTTGAGTAGCTGGGATTACAGGTGTGTGCCACCACGTCCAGCTAATTTTTGTATTTTTAGTAGTGATGGGGTTTCGCCATGTTGGCCAGGCTCATCTCGAACTCCTGACATCAGGTGATCCACCTGCCTCAGCCTCCGTAAGTGCTGGGATTACAGGCATAAGCCACCGCGCCTGGCCTCTTCCTCTCTTTTCTCCCTCCAGTGTTCCACGTGTTCCCCCTGTGAGATGAATAGCACGCTGATTTTACTCCTATTCATTGACCTTCTCTGCATGAGGCAGGGTGTGAGGCACAGTGGGAGATGCATAGATGACTGACCCATCCTGAAAATGAGTACAATGAGAGGCCTGCAGGCAGAGCAGCCTGTGAGGTGTGTGCTGAACTTGTTTGAGAGCAGCAAATCCTACATTACTACAGATTTGGGAATTTGAGGCATTAGTCCATCAGGCTTCTGAGCCTTGAATCTGTTTCCCTTTTCCACTCCCCATCAAGAGATCTGCTTGCTCAGCTAGTTCCCATCAGCTCTGGTTCTGTGGTTCTGGTCCAGGCTGAGTGGCCTTGCAGTTATATAAGAAGTGGTGGGAAGGGAGGGGTGGAGGAGAGCGGAGGGCTATGGGCTGTGATGTGCCAGGGTCAAGCCTGTTGCCCAGGCTGGAGTGCAGTGGCGTGATCTCGGCTCACTGCAACCACCACTTCCTGGGTTCAAGCAATTCTCTGCCTCAGCCTCCCAAGTAGCTGGGATTACAGTTGCCCGCCACCATGCCCGGCTAATTTTTGTATTTTTAGTAGGGATGGGGTTTCACCATGTTGGCCATGCTGGTCTCGAACTCCTGACCTCAGGTGATCCACCCACCTCGGCTTC